GTATATTGTTGATGAGGAAGTGATTTTCAAGAATAAGGCCACTATTGGTCCTGCAACACATTGTTTCAATAGACTGTTGCCGCAGTAAGAATAAGTAATTTTATTTTAAATAAACGGTCCTTTCAGTGAATTAGTCTTTTCTTTATGAGCAAATGTTTGTCTTAACTTTTCGTGACTGCTCACAACTTGAATGGGAAATGTTATCGGGTTCTCAAGACTTAATTGAAGCACATTAGCATTTAAATAAGTCAGCTAAAATACTAACGAATGGGCAATCTGGCAGGTTGTTGAATATATAAATGATAACAACTCAGTAAAGAGAGAAGAGAATTTAGGACCACCCTGTTGGTCTGTGGCCGGGGTAGTGAAATGTAATTGTTTGGTTCATCGACTGACCTGATAGTTAGTAATTATTGGCTGACGCTGAGTATGATCTGAAGAATTGTGTTATTTAACAATTAATGAATGAGGCTGAGTATCTTATGAAGAATTATGGAGATCGAGGAGGGTGTTACGGCCTCGAAGGATAACACCCTCCGAGATCCCATAATTCTTCATATGATACGAAAGCCGAATTCAATAATTGTTTTATTATTCATTCAAAATAATTCCTAGTTTAAAAACCAATCTAAAACATGCTTACGTTCCATCGATGTTAAGTTCACCTTCGATAGTGCACGTTTAGGGTTGTTCAGCTGAATTTCAGCTCCGCAAATATTCTCCATTCTATAATTTCCCCTAGTTCTTACTCTTGAAACGAGTGAAATGGCCGCCATTTTTTGTTTTCACAACCAAAACAACTCAGTCTTGTCCCCAGGTCTTCTCGGTTAACGGTGCATTAACTTGCACGAACGCTGCATTTTTGACGTCATTTCCTCGTTAAATACAAAATTCTTCCAAATTTGGTCATCAGTAACTGGTTAAGGTGAATTATGCGTGTGCTTTTTGCCATTCAAGATCGCGGAAATATTGTGAATGAATAACAAGTCCCTTTTACTGGCAATAGCCTGTACTATGAAGCCATTTTGTCGCATATTGCAAACGTCTTCCAAATTTGGTTAACGCTAGCTGGTTATGAACAATTAGCCGAGGGATTTGAGCAAACTAGAGAAGGAGAAATATTTTGAATAAGTATTTATAAGGTGAATTAGCCGTCATAAGGATATAAAATTAATAAACGGGATCTGCAGAAAGACAAGGCTTGGCTATTGTTAAAATTGACCAATCAGAAGACCGTCCGCAGAATTTTGAGGGCTGGCTTCTGATTGGCCAATGTTAACGATTGCATAAATTTATTAGCGAGAAAGCGAGAAGCTATTTTAGTAAAAAAAGGTGGCGGGCAATGCAAGATTGATAATGGTTGCTTGCTCGGCCTTGAGGAGAAAATCGTCCTGCACAAATTACTCAGTAAACATCATGACGTCATGTACAAGAAACTCGCCGTCGGGTGAGGAGTATTGCAGGTGCACCGAGACACCCAAGGCGGGAGACTATACTGAGCCTACAATGCTTAGCTTTTCATTTCTCTCTCTTCTACAGAAAGGTTCACTGTTCTGGTATCGATAAAACCTGGGGGAACGGATGAAGGGTTTGTAAGCTCTGATATGTCAGGAGACCAGGAAGGATCTGTTGTGGCAGAGTACACGATTGATGTTTATAAGAAAGGAGCCAAAGCAAACCAATTAAATGGCGAAAAGAACCCGCCTGCAAAAGCAGGCGTAATGATTGTCGGAGCACTACTTATGGGAATGGTAATTTTAGCCTTTATATTAAAGGTAAGCAATGTATACCAAACACACAAAAAAAACCAAACAAACAAACAAATAGCCTGCGTAACAAGCGTTTCATCGCGAGTTCGTCGACAAAGTTGGGACGAGAGCAAAAAAAAAGGGAATGACGGGGGAGGGGGAGGTGCTCCCGCTCTAACTCTCGCGCAGTAGTAACTCGATTGGAAACGCTTGCTACGCAAGCTAACAAACAAAGAGTTGATAAACGGCGTGAGAGCGAATTTTTAGAAACATAATAGGACACTTTCACTTTTCCCATAATGGAAATGTGGAAGTGGAGAAATTTAAATCGGTTAACATTTTTTCCTCATCTGGTGCACTGGAAAGTTTTAACGGTGTTAAAAACGCTAGTTGACTTACTCCAAGACAATGTGGACGAAGTTGTGGGATGTTTAGAGAAATCGGTTTGTTTGTTTGCTTGTTTTTTTTTTTCGCATAACGTTTGGTCAGCACTATTTAACATTCTTTAACTTTTAATATAGATTCTTCACCAGACCTGGGTGCGCAAACGAAATTCCCCTGAGGAACACTTTGAGGCGTACCTGAGGAAAAAATCGAGGAAAATAAAGTCTGTTTCTTTGGCGTCTCAAGAACAGAGCAACATCGCAAGTGCTATGGTACTCATATTTGACACCGAATATGACAGTAGACTGTGAGGATATCTGAGAATACAATTTCAATACAGTGGGACCCCGTTAATACGGTTACCAAAATATTTTTAATAGGCAAAAAATATTTGGCCGTATTAACGAGGATTTTTTTTACAAGAAAATGTATGGCGGTTTTTACCAGGCGGCCGAAAAAGTGGCCATAACAGCGAGGTGACCGTATTACCGAGGTGGCCGTAAGGCGGGGTTTCACTGTAGCTTAAGATGGCTCGATAATCTTTGTTGGGCGTAGGCCGCCGAAGCACTGAAAAAGGAGCTAAATTGACAACCTATAAAATAAACATCATTGCACATGGGAAGAGCAAAGTGGATATATTTCCAAGCCGAAAACGATTGCTTTTTCCCAGCCGAATTTAAAAAATAAAGGGGAAGATGGAGATACAGTTGATCCTGAAGATGACAGTCTTTGAGTGCTGATCCCTGAGGATATCTGGCTTGGTCAGGGTCCACTGAATGTACTGGCAGGCAGACAAATACAGTCGATCCCGTTGATCCTGAATTTGAATTGTGATCAATTAGATTGTAATTTTTCCTTTTTTTATATATAATCAATGATACGTATGGTTAAGATTTTCAAAAAGCAGAAAAGAGATCGCTAGCTTTCGGGGGATGGCTGTGCTCTGTCCGGATCTTTACCCTACATTGTTTCCTCATTCGCCAATCGATAGACAATAGGGAAAATGGGAACAAGCTTTCGACGCAAAGATTTATGGGATCGTTTTGGTGGACAGCGCGAGCAATCAGTTAAGTTTCTGGTTGCCTGTTAATACCACCCAAACCAGTGCCGGATTCAGACCTCGAGTTAAGGGGGGAGGGGGAAGGGGGTCATCCAGACCCTGAGATAAGGGGGAGGACCGGTCTCCAAAAAATTTTTTTCGACCCTTCGGGCCTCAGTCTCATCTAAAAATAAGGGGGGTGGGGGGCGGGCCCCCCAGGCCCCTCCCCTGGATCCGCCACTGCAAACCATCCCGGAAATCGTTGCCCTAAAGCTCGCACCCATTTATCGTTGTATAAAATCACCAAGAAAAGATTTCGATCTATCCTGAAAAACTTGGACCTTAGTGACAAACGAGAGAGTTTTAGAGTTAGCTAGAATTCCAGTTTTTTGAACGATAATACAACAAGAAACTCAGTGTTGAACTTTACTGGTAAAACAACTCATTTTTCATACAATACAGATAACGTGAAATATACGATTTTTTCTAAGTATTGTAGAACCCAAGAATCAATTGGATGAGTCTTGTTCCTTCACCATGCAAACTATGAACTAATTTTCAGTAATAAGTATTAAATCTTGTTCCGCATCTTAGTCAAATGATTATATCCGAAATTTGGTGTATGCGGGTTTTTTTTTATTTATCATTAACAGCATTTTTGAAGCTCATTGTTTGCATTAAATAAGACGTATGGAAACTGCATGATTATTTCTCGCTCTGGTCCATACTGTCCATTATATTTTTAGAATGTGGGGGAGACAATTTACCACGGTCGCAGAGGTAGGTAAACGAGGTAAACATTGTTGTGGAATGCTTTAACAGATCCCTAAACTTTTAAGAGCCAGTTATTTAAACGGAGTTTGGCCAGTGTTTAACAAAATCGGGTTCTAAGCCATTTTCAGTTTACTGAACGCTTTTATGTAAACACCATTTATCGTGAACGGTTTCTTAAAAGCATATGGCGTAGACAATAAAAACATTTTTCTTCTTAAAATAATCTACTTAGGAAGAGATCTGGAAGTCCAAAGATTTCCTAAGCCGCGGTCTAAGTTAGACTTCGATCGTTTAAATAACCAGCCCTAAGTCTTCTAAAAGTCTAGTTTAGGGATGGGGAATCTATTAATGCGTTTCACACCAATGTTTAAATCGTTAAGCTGCCAGTCTGCATGTCTCACTCTACCTCTACACTGATGGTAAATTGTCTCCTATTATATAGGCACCCAGCACAAGTCACCGGTAATCTCGTACCCAAATCCTCTCCGCTGCGTCGACAAGGGATCTGGATACGAGGTTAGAGTCACCCGCATTCCCGCATTGCACTCTGAACAATTGGCACTCTGTATCTATCGTTTTGTTTTAATTGGCGCTTAGCGCTCCGTGAAGGGATAGTAATGAAGTATTGAAGTATGTAAAATTGTTTCCAGATCTCAGAAAAAAAATTTCTTTTCGTACTTTAATTTTATTTTGGAATAGGGGATTGTATTGAGTCGACCTTGTTGCAAGCACTTTAATTCCTTCGAAATTTGGGCAAGGTCCTGGGAACGTTTTTGAGGATATATAAGACCTGTAGTTTGCCCCTTAAACGGAAGGGACCACCACTCATGAGCGCCCACCATATCCCTTTCGTTTTTGGTAGACGCGTACGACAAGTTCAATCATAGTTATATAACATATAACACCTCACCTGAATGCATCAGCTAACTAAAGATGTGTTTGCACAAAACGCGAATAAAAGTAATAGTCCGCTTTAGTTGTGCAATACCTAAAAGCGATATGACGTAGCTACAAGCTAGTTAACATGTAATGTAGGCGTTTTTTTTTTCAGTTCAAGCTAGGCACTGTGCCGCCATGTTAAAACCAGAGGAAGGTTAGTGTCTTACACGGCCGTTCTTTGTGTTGTCACGCAAGGCTCCTTGTGGCGAGGAGCTTGGAGTGACGTGTCGCAAATAGCCTGTGTGAAGGCTCTCCGTTATGGGGAAAGGGACTAAAGGTGGATATCCACTGTCACGTAATTTTTACCTGCGCACGCACGTAAATTTTACCTGCGTAAATAAAAAAGAGGCAATGTATAAAGTATAGCTCGTAAACGTAAAAGTCGAGCGAGGTTCAACTTTTACACTTACGCGCGACCTTTCATACATTGCCTCTATTATACTTACGCGCGTGCGCACGTAACAATTACGCGACAGTAGAATCCACCTTAAAAATCGCGCAGAGAACGGAAGGGGAACGAAGGAAGTGGAGAAGGCTACAACACAAGGAAGCACTGAGTGTAAGACTAGTGGAAGATTGAGGAGGGTAGAAATTTCGGTCAACAGGTTGGACTTTTATGCTACATGAAGAAGGAAGTCACAATTTCTTTAGTTCCTTGAAATTCAACATGTTTGTGTGTTGAATGATCAGCTTAAATCCAAAGTTGATTTCACAAAGGCTGGAGATCCCCTGTTTGGTTAATGATCAACTGTATCCTTATTTACTGAGGGTGTGCGGACTGGACTCACATGAAGCTTCTGAAACAGAGGTCAGTAAAAATCAATCATGGGGACGTTTTCGTATTGACTCTAATTTAAAGCTGGTGACCACAATATGCGCTGCGTGAGAAGTCTGAGTATCAAAGGGGTAATTGAAATAATTATCATCACCTAATTCCTTATCATCGTTAATAACCATTTCCACAACAACAACAACAACAACGTCATTGACAAAATAATCACTGTAATTATCATGATCATCACCATCAGTAGCAGCAGCATTAGCAGCCGCTTGAGCATCAGTATCAGCATCACCATTATCATCATCATCGTCATCATCATTATCAACACCTCTATAGCCAGAACTTAGATTATAAACAAAGCCTCAATGTTTTACATCATCATACATCCACTTCGATAGGACTCTGATTCCGTCACGGCGATAGTGAAAATCTACCGTACCTGTCTTTACAATCACCCGAGACAATCTGGGGTTTACCAGCCAAGCAGTACAGCAGGAATTTTGCACGGAGAAAAAAAAAATGATGAATAAAACCCTCTGAAGATAACTATTTTATTCATTTAAACTATCCACGTTTTTTCGTGAAAATACTAGTAAAAGAAGTGATGTGACTGCTAACCTTAGCGACTCCTCCAAGGGGTCGAATTTCAGCCTCCCTCTTTCGACGCTCCGAATCGTCTGGTTGTGTTGCTGTTGAATTAAAGTGGACTGGTTTCAGTTTCTTCGGTTCTCTTTTTGGCTCTTGTCTTTTATCCTGTTCACCCTCGCCGCTGTCTTTAATAGATCCTTGCTCGAAAGCTTGCACTTTAGAAATTATGCTGGGTTTATAGTCTGGTTCGTCGTCACTGCTGTTGGGTTTAGTTTCATAAGGGCTTGCGTCTTTCTGGTGTTCAGAAGGGTGTTCCTAAAATGGGACATGAGAAAATGAGAAAAACGGACTCGAATTGTTCTCAAGATGTTGTTTTCCCCTTAATCGATATACCGTATTGGTTCAATTAAGTGCCCAATCTCGAATAATTTCTCACCAAGACTGATAACCGCCTACCCTGTAGGTAGGAAACGTTAATAAGCGCCCAGCCTCCAATACGACAACTTACTACTAGCAGAAAAGGGTGAGAACTTAATAAGTGCCCACCCCGAATAAACGCCCACTCTCAAGTTCCAATAAATACGGTAGTTTTGACAAATGGCCAAACCAGGAGCAAGCAGAGTTATGGCGAACGAGCCACTTATTTATCACCTATTAGCAGCCGGTGGCATTGCCATCATCAATCACACATTATGGATTATCGTAGTTATACAAGTGTTGAGATCTGGAATTTCTCAGGGAGACAAAACCAAAGTTTATATGATAAAGAGCGATCACGAGAGACGTTTGTAATTCATTCGTTGAAATGTTCATTAATCAGTGTTAAACTACGTTTTATCATCTTCTTCTTCATCATCATAATCATCAGCATTTTCACTATGATAATCACATTTGTTATGTTGTGATTAGCGGTTACAAAGCATTAAAAGAATTCAAGCTTAAGGGAAGCCTCTAAAGAATAGTGAGTGTTTTAGAATTTTTAAGCTAACTTATTGAACTAATTTACGATCTGATAATTGTGTCAATAACAACAATAATCAGATAATAGCCGAAAATCCATGACAGCTTGTTTTCCTTTCTCTTCTGTTGGGCTTTCAGAAAAATACAATATCTCATCATATACCGTTTGTTTTGGTTGTTGGGTCATCAATGATGCGTCATCCCGCGGTTCAGGGCTCGAGGAGCGGTGAGGTTCAGCGAAAGAGACGCTGGTTCGTTGTCTTTTTTTCGCAGTGAGTTTATCGTCG